CCTGAGAAGTGGATTTCCTGCAAAACTAGAGCAAAGAGCAGAGACTTCCCTCTGCTAGGGCCACCACCCAAGAGCCTGTGTGGATGGAGACATCACAGGTGTGGAGAGGACTGAGTGGAAGGCTCGACTTGGCCTGCTGCATGTGGGGCCGCAGTGACCTTCACGTAAGAATTGCTACGAGCCTCACCTGGGCACTTTATGAGGTCGTGGCCAACATTAACAAGGCAAGAGGATACGGGGTTAAGAGTCTGGGATAATGCAGGAAAATCACAAAACTTTAAGACAATTCAATGTAAAACACGAATGTCATGGAGAGAAAGGTGACTATTTACAGCCGAGTGTCAGACCGGAACACTAAGTAATAAATCAGAACTCTTACCAGATGTACAATAAATGTATTCCGAATACAATCTAAAAATCAATTTGACTCAGTAAAATTCAAGCAAATCACTTGAAGCATTTGACACTCAGCACAAATAAAGTTATATAAAATATTTTATTAGCAGTCTTGATTTCTTAAAAGTATCTAACTTTATATTCATACACTCTGCATCTTCCCCCACCCCATTCGGCTGTTTTGTTTTATTGTTTGCTGAAATCTAATTTAGCTGGCATTTGACCAAAGCCTAATGGGTTTTGAATGCACATTTACCATCCACACGCAGGCATGGGGCGGGAACATTTTTCCTTTCCTTCTTGGAGTAAAGGACGATTGAGGATTTAGAGGCTGGTATTCTGCTGAGATAAAGGACATACCACAGAATAATACTATTTGACACACACCTGGAGCAAGTCCACACGTGCGTGTGTGTGTCTCTATACACACATACACACGCACATCTACACACATTTAGAGGCTGGTATTCTGCTGAGATAAAGGACATACCACAGAATAATACTATTTGACACACGCCTGGAGCAAGTCCACACGTGCGTGTGTGTGTCTCTATACACACATACACACGCACATCTACACACACCAGCCCCTCTGGAGCCCAGGCCAGTCCACAGCTGTGCTGCACCAGGAAGCCAGGACCAGGAGAGGGCAGAGGACAGCCCCTCTCAGCTGAGACAAGCGTGAGATCCCCTGGATGACGGTGAGCACCGCCCCTCGCAGGCACTCAGGCATTCAGGATGTAACTCAACAAGCAGCCACTCAGCTGGTATCACACTTCACATCTCCCAATGTTTGTACATGACAAGCAGGAGGCAGCACAGCAAAGCATAAAAAAATGACTTTGGAGTTGCAACTGGGCTTGAATGCCACTCTGCTCCTTCCTGGCCCTGGGACCCTGGACATTGCCGAGCCTCTCCTGGCCTCAGCATGCCACTGCTACGTCTGCAAGGTGAACAGAGTGAAGCAAAGCGGCCTTGGGACCCTCCCACCCTGGAGGGCAGGCCCATGCCTGGGTCCCCACTCCACCCTGAGCCAAGTACCGGGGACAGCACCAGGCACGTGCAATGGTCAGTAAGGGTTTGGTGGGTGAGTGAATGAACAGGAATTGGTAAGGCATCCGCACAGTACCTGGAACAACGTTCAGCCCACAGAATGTCTTTCCCTTCTCATGGAAGCAACCAAAGGTGATGTCCATCACGTGGATATAGGCTGTCCCTGACCTCAGGTTGGGGAAAGTGACCTTTTTGTGCATCTCTAAGTTGAGTTTTTACCCAAAAGCTTTATGTCCCATTTCCTGGTCCTGAATTTGCCTCCCCCAAGGTGATGTATTCAGATTCTAGCATCTACTATGCAAAATGTTCACACGGTCGCTTCCTTTCCTGGGGACAGCCTCCACTTCATCCATGCAGGAACTTTTGGAGAATTTAATTCAGTAGTTGATATTCAGCGAGAGTAGAAGAAAAGGAGGCACAGAATGCTTTGCATGTGGACAGAGGTGAGGGGCTCCCTAGAAGGGTTGCTTATTAGCAAGGCCAGAAGTCAGTGGGGCTCCCCTTTCTCTCCTGACAATTTTCACTAAAAAGTGATATTCTTTGGGCTTCTATTTCACCTCTACTAATAACTAGGGAGACTGGGTATCTTTTATCAAGTTTCAATCCTTCCTTCTAAGGGGAAGAATCTCAATCAGAGATGAAAGGAATATTTAGGTCATTACATTCAGGAATAAATTAGATTTGGGGAGTTGCTCTGGTGTAAATCTCAGTGTATGAAAGAGCACATCATCATGTACCTCTTAATCACGTCTATTTAGAAAAATAAATCAGTTGCTTGGATGTTATCTGAAGTCATTAGAATAAAGTATTTTACCAAACGACCCTAACACAAAAAGCAGGAGGAAAAGATCTGGAAATCCAGACAACAGCATTGGGATCCATGCTGCTAAAGATTAGGGCAAGAATGCCCAGCACAGGGGCAGGAGCTGTTCCGCCAGGAGGCAGGCAGGGACAGCCTAGGGCTGGCGCACCCACCTAGCATGGCTGAGGCTCTTCCTCAAGCCTACAGGAGTGGGTGAGCAGAGCTCTCCCGTGGTGGTGGCTTTCACAACACTCACTTAACTCTAGTTAGCATCCTTTAAGAAAATAACCCTGTCTTATCTTGCCCATACATTCCCTTCTAGCAGCCTGACAGCCATATGTCCCCCAAGATCTGCCCCTTGGAAGGATCCCAATCAGTCCCTCATCTAGTAAGAGTTAAATTCAATCTGTTAACTGGAAAATGGAAATACAGGAGTACAAACTCCTAGAGAAATAATTCCTTAAGAGGGCTTAGGTGCTCCTGGAAACCAGATTTTAATCTAGAGGAATGTCACCGTTTCCTTCTGAAACTGTGAGACACAATACTGTGGTCTCAGCGAATGGGATGAAGCTGCCTATGGAGGAGGGATGGTTGGCCCTACATAGCTCAGTTCCTGTCATGCACGTCCTTACTGGGGTCACGGACCCACAGCACATCCACAATGGGTTCTTTCAATATTGACCTCACCTAAATGTAATTCTGAGGCACCATCAAGGACTTTTTCCTCTTTCCAATTCTGTATTCATGAGGCTATTCCTACGTAGGTCTCCCTATGTGTGATGTCTTACAGGCAGATCTGTCTTGAAGTTAAATGAAGACTTTTTATGAAGGTTAAGTTCGACCCTGGTTAAAAACTTAATCTGTAAGGCAATGCTGTATTTCTATAGAACAAGCAAAAAAAAAAAAAAATGCATCTTAATGTATATCTCAATTGTGTTTACTAAAACAGATCTAGGAGTGAAAAAGGAATCTTTAAGTATTTGCAAACTAAATCCATGTATAAGTAAAATTTAGACCCTTTTATTCTCTTAAAGTAGGAAATAAGAGTTTCGAGGACACAACGGAGGAATCTCAGACCCATTTACAGCTAAAAATGGCCCTGAGCATGGTCTAGTGCAAATATTTACAGATGGGGAAACTGCCTCAGAGAGGCTGCCCACAAAAATGCAGTCTTTCATTAGGAGACCCTGACTCTAGGACAACAGTACTCTAGGAGAAAGCAACTGTGTTTTCATAAGGATAGCCTTTGGCCAGAATCACCTTCCACTCTTGTAGTCAAGCTGCTTCTGAGAGCTGACAGGCACTAAGGCAGCCCCATGATGAATTCAGAGGCCGTTTAACCTATGGATATGCCCACTGTTCTGGCCCTAGAGGGATTTTACTTATGCGATTACATCACAGGAAAAAGGTGTTTCTAATATGCAAAGTCTACACAGGCCCAACATCAAGATGTCACAAAAACCCAGCTTGGGAGGTGAAATCACCCAAACTCTAAATGCATCATTTGATCAAGTCACACATGCCTCTGCCGCACTAAAAGTCTCCGCCCATTTCATGCAAAGTTCTTGGGTTCTAAGGACATCTCTTGGGCATCTTCCCTTCCTGCATAAGCAGCTCATCATCGGCTGCTCCTGCAGACGCAGCCCTCGAGGGTCACACCTGCAGTTTCCCTAAGCCCAGATTCTCAGGGTCGGTGGAGGTAGTTGGCGTGATACATGAGGAAGGAGAAGCTGTTTTTAAATATCAACAGGGTTGATGTAGAAATTTTTTAGACAAACTTAAGGTAGTCAGAAAGGAAGAAACAAACAATATATTTTGTTTAAAATAATAGGCATGTGGGAAAGAAAAGACTTTGAAAGTTGGCCACATTTGTCTTACAACTTTTTGTATAACTTTAAAAATTTTCTGCATGGCTTAGTGAAGACAGGGTCAAAGTCCTCTCTCAACCTGGAACCTGCCCTTGAATCTCAAACGACTTCTGTTTGTAAATGAGACCAGCTCGGTGATTAGGTTAATAAACCCATTATGTTTCTAAACAAAGTATATTATTTACCCTGGATAATTCTTCGAAAAAAAAAAAAAAAAAAAAAAAAAACCCACTAATTTGGGGAAGAAAGACACGGGTTTCTGATTTCTTGGGGTTGGAGAGCACACAACTGTTGAAACTCTGTAGAAGTGCTTTGTTTCGATGTTGTTTTCCTGAACAGTATGCCTGGATCTGAACTAACATTCTAGAAAATAAGACCTTGTTCCCAACTTCAGATCTTTGTGTCACATGGGACAACTGCAGCTGGGGCAGAGGGTGGGCGACACACTAAAGAGAGGCACTACCTACTGATGGGCCAGTGTGCCCCAAGACCACTCAGCAGAGAGGCAACAGCTGATCGCCCGCAGGTCTGAGGCACTAGAATATTCTTCAAAGACACTGGGATGTTTAAAAGATGACTTGTTTTCCACTGGATTTCTTACTAAGGTTTCAAAGACAATCGGTACCTTATAGCAAGAACTGTTCATTTCAGAGAGGAATGAAGTTCCTAAAAGATGGAAATGCTCCCAGCTAAGGCAGCTCTTGTCAGAAATACCCAGAATGTGAGGGTACCAATGGCGTCCTCAGGGTACAAGTTGCTAATATTTATTTTGTCCTTGGTGTGTGTGTGTGTGTGTGTGTGTGTGTGTTGGCGAGGGGAGGGGGCACACCAAACTAGTAAAAAATAAAAGGCATCAGTTCCCTGAAGTTGATGATCCACACTTAGCCGACATCCTAGAGGTGGCTTTTGTGAGCAGTTAGCAACAGTGCTTTCCCTCCGTCACCATGAAGTTCCTGAGCGACAAAAGCTCTGCTGGTTCCCCTCACGCTACCTGACGTAGGAGATGTAGGACATCCACTGCAGGTACGTCGGGATTGTGTCAAAGCTGACAAAGAATCCTGAGAAGAGGAGGACGGGGATGGCGGTCACGGGGCCCACGAACGTCGCCACCTGGGGGTGGGCAGGGCACAGAGAGAACTTAATGGTGGGGCAGGTGGGAAGTCCGGCTTGCCTTGCTGTGCAGGTGGCCTCCAGAGGCCATTTTCTGTGTTTCTGGACAATCACCATCAGCTAGAAAAGTGAGGCCTCCAAAGGGTTGACAAAGGCTCAGGGTGGTAGCTGGGAACATCCCATTTGCAGAGCCAGCAGCCTGGTCTGCTGCAGGGGGAGGGTGAAAGAGAGTAGAGCTTCCCCCAGGCACAGTGGCAGGGTGCCTTCAGGATGGGAGTGCTCAACGAGGCAGAGGGGACAGCTTTCCCTGGGAGCTGACCATGTAGTGGCATCCCCACACCTGATGGCCCCCAGAGCCAGGCTGACAGGACCCCTGCAGGTACCCGCTAACACATGCCCTTCTCAACAGCTGTGCCCTGAGTGGCTACGGAAAGGGCCCCGCACGTGGGCACGTGGAGGGCAGGTGCGGGGTGGGCACTGAGTGAGGAATCAATGCCCTCTCCACATGCACAGGGGGAGCGTCTCCTGTGTCACCTGAACTAGGGGGTGTGTGGGCCCAAGATCAACTAAAAACACAACAGCACTGAGACTCTTGATTCAAAGTGTGCAAAAACTCAGTGAGGGCATTGTGTGTGCGGGTGTGTGTGTGTGTGTGTGTGTAGTGTCTGCGTGGTGTGTGTAGTGTCTTCATGTGTCTGTGTAAATGCATGTGTGACTGGTGTTGTGTAGTGTGTTGTGTCTGTGTGCTTGTGTGATGGCGTGTGTTGTCTGTGTAGTGTCTGTGTATGTGTGTAGTGTGTTGATGTGTCTGTGTGGTGTGGCATGTGTTGATGTGTCTGTGGTGTGTGTGTGTGTATGGGTACGTGTGGCGTGTGTTGTGTGTGCGTGTGTGGGGTGCAGGCTTGTAAGCAGGAGTATTACAGCCTGTGCTCTGGTCAGATAACCCAGTGGGAGGCTGACAACTTGGGGTGTGGGGGGAAGTGTCTGAGCAGGAGAGGTGGGGGTTGACCTTGGGGGATGTGGCTCACTGTGAAAACGAGGAAGTTCAGCGGGAGCCATGCACGCATGTGTCTAGGGTAGGGGCAGGAGCAGAAGGCCGGGTGGGGGCAGGCTGGGCTACAGGTGGGGCTGTGTCCTGGGTGGAGGTGGGAGGTGGGACCCTGGCAAGAAATGCCTGTGCCAGTTCGGCAGCAGACATCTGTGCTAGGACGCAGAGGGATGGACAGAAAGCCAGTGGACGTCAGTGTGAGTATGACTGGGACTTGTTAGGCTGGGAAGGGAATGCCACACCTACACCGGCACGTGTGCTCAAAGGAAGCCTCCTTAGGTAGTGCCCAGGGCACTGCAACACCCTTTGGTGGTGATAGCGGCATCTGACCACTTAGCAGGGCCGCTGAGCCTGCTCTGCTGGAGGTGCATTCTGGACCCCACCAGGGGCCAGCAGATGGGTGGGCGCCGGGGGATGGGGGGCAGTGGCCGTTCTTCCCCGGACCCTTTGTGGGCTGGCCCGGCCCCACACCTTCCCTGCAGAGTCATGGGTCATCCTGAAAATGGGTGCCATGGCTACTCCCGTCCCCAGGTGGGGGAGCTGAGTCCCTGGGGCCGATCAGCTGGTGGGAGGTGGACCCTGGAGAAGGAAATGGGCGAGGCAGCAGCCTGCGTGGGACCTTGGAGGGCCCCAGGGACATGTAAGCCACCTGAGAGTTTTGCTTTTTAAGGATAGGGTTGGCCTGAGCACCTGAAGCCACTGAGGTGGAGAAGCTGCAGATGCATGTGGTGTGGTGGGTGGGGTAGGGGTGGGCCCAGGCGACTGGCCTGAGAAGTGATGGGGAAGAAGAAGATGGAGAGGCTCGGGGGCGGGTGGGGCGCAGGTGAGTGAAGTAGAGGAGGATGTCTAAGGATGGCCGAGTGAATCCATAGAGACAATAATAGGTAGGTGTTGAGAGCTTGACCTCTGAGCCAGCTGTGTGACCGTGACAAGTCACTGTGCCTCTCTGGGCCTCAGTCTCCCCACCTGTAACGGGGCTAGCACAGCACCTAACTAGATGAGCTAGTACTTGGAAAGCACTGAGAGAGTGCCTGGCACGCGTAAGCACAGGATGGGGGTGCCTGTCTTGGTCACAACTCCTTATAAGCTGGCTAATCCTGACTACCCAGGAAAATGTGATCCTTCCCATGGGAATGACCTTGTGACGCCCATCTAGGAAGCTCAGGGCAGAATTAGGAAGAGGGGTCTTAGGGAGGAGGGGTGGCACTGAGTCCCACCAGAAACAGCCTAGGCCTTGTGAGAACAAGGTGTTGAAGGGAAGCCCAGCCCACAGGGTTGCCGTGGCTGGTACCTGCAGGGATGTGGAGGCGGCTCCGATCAGCAGGCCCAGGGACTGGGCCACCAGAGATGTCATGGTGCCCAGTGCGGCAAACAGGACAAACCGCACGGCGTCGGATGGCTGCGATGTCATCCAGTACACAATGCTGCAGTAGGCCACCGGGAACATGATCTGGAGACACAGAGTCCATCACCACGGAGCCCGGCCAGGTCACAGAAGCCATCAGGCAAGCCTCAGATTCTGGCAGCCTGCCCTTCACCCACAGCACCAGCTGAAACTCATTAAGTCAGGGAATGTCACCCTGCCTGATTCCCCACAAGCCTCACCCTGTTTTGTAGGGTGCAAAGGAGAATTCTTGTCCCCTCTTCAAATTATGCCCCCTTTGCTCCCCACCTGAAAGGGCACATCAGCCATGGTCTTGGCTAGGTAGTAGGCCTTCAGGCTGTACCAGTAATTCAGGTGTTCCCGAAGAAATACTCCCATCTCCAGGGGAACTAGGAGACAGAAGAATGGAAAAAAGGGTCAAGAGGACATACCTGGCCAGCCAAGTATTCTAGTAGGTGACCTTGTGCTGAGCTGTTCAGCACAAGATGTGGCCTGTACCACATTGGCCTTTTGATTCTTAAAGTGCTGAAGGTTTGAACAAAGAGATGAGTTGCTTTACTAGCCTGGAGAAGCGGCCACCATTTTTATAACCTGAAGAATCATGGAGCGAGACTGGTGGAGAGCATCTACTTTAGTGATTAAGTATTCACTGCCAGGCTTATTCTTGTTTGCCTCTTCTGAAACCCTATAACACTGTGATCTCTTCCCATAGGCAGGCAACTCAGGGAGGAGGTACTGCAGGTAGGTGATGTTTCTGGAGCTCTGGTGAAGCAAGAGCTTTGTACACTGTCAACCCTAAGTGACTGGGGCAGCCTATTTGTGAACAAACTAGAATAGCATGGAAATCTGTCTAGAAGAGCTTATCTACTCCCAGAGTTGGCCATACCAGGGCCATCTTAACTGAACTACGTAACACTAAAGTAGTAGACTTTGAGGGTTCCTGAGGATAAACCTTTGAGGAATGTCCCATCCGTCAGCCTTCTACCATGCTTAAAAGTCTTCCAGTAGTGAATCACTCTTTTGGTTTAAACGTTTCTTATCTAACAGCAAATAGAATAAAACCTGCATCCATCAACACAGAAGATGGTATTTAAAAAAACAAGACATCACAGATAATGGGGACAGAGGGGTGTGGTCAGTCACTCACACGTAAGGACGGTGGGCATGAGGGCCGCGAACATGAGGAACAGCATGGAGAAGAAAAGGAAGCCGGAGTTGCTCAAGACCTTCTTGGCTTCGTTCCCAATCCCCAGGTAGAGCAGGCCAATGAGGAGACCGATCCCAATGTGCGAGGTGATCCGCAGGTGTGTCAGGACCTGGGGGCAGACACGGTTCTCACCCTGTGCACTGGAAGTTCTGGGGTGGGGTCACCAAAGAACAATGAGGCTAAGGCCTTCAGCAGCATCAGCCCCTTATTTCTGTAGTAGCAGATATTCGGCTTCATCCTCCCTTCTCCACCAGAAGATCAAGCCCAAACCTAAACCAACTCAGACACACACACATATGCGTGCATGCACATACGTGTGCATGCGTGCAGCAGGCTTTTGTTTCTGTTAAAACAGAAGTAATTACTACCGTTTGTTAAATCCTCTTCAATGGCAAACAAAGGAAGTCTGCCTTCAGAAGAGAGAAAAGTACAAATGGTGGTGGGAGGGGGACAAAGGGTGGATCTGTCACGGGCCCACACTCAAAAAGCTCTGGCACAGGTTGTTCAAGCCCCTCTGTCTTTCAAATTAGTCTCAGAAGCTGTGCTGAGCACTCGGGCAGGGGGCCACTTAAGTGGCAGGTGTCTTATGGTTCCCATGTACTCACCACCTCCTTCCCTGGAAGGGATTGCTCAATGCACCCACTCATGACCTACAGCCTTCCTGCGGGGGGAGCAAACTTGCCCATGTCCCTGATGTTAGACGTGGCCTCATTACTTGCTTGGCCAATGTAATGTGGGAACAAGTGACAGTCTGCCAGCTCTAAGCAGAACTTTTAAGGCTGCCATTTGGTTTCCCTCTTGCACTTTCCATTGGTGGTGTCCCAGAAAGCCACATCCAGCAGGAGCTGTCCTCAGTCTGGGCCTGGGATGAGGTGGCACATGGGGTGGAGCCACAACCCAGCCCACAGCTTCAAACACGTAATGTGAACAAGGCACCAACGGTGGTCGGCATGCACACTAGCATTGGGGACTGTTTGTTACTGCAGCATAACAGGGAAAGCTGACTAATGCATGGGTAGGAAAAACAATCTGGAAGTTCTGTCAGGAGGAGTGAATGGGGAAAATGACCCGATGGTGTCCTGGGCTGTGAGAGAATGCTTGACACCCTTACCGAATCCCTCATGATGCTGAGAAAGGTCCTTTTGAAGAGGATGCAGAACTGAGTGAGGCAGCTGGCAGAGAAGCTGTGACAGCCTTCCATGGATGCCGAGTCCTGAGGACACACCGACAAGGGAGCCATGAGCCCCGCCAGCTGGCTCCTTCCTGCTCAGAAGGTGCTCACATGGCGGGAGTGGCAGACATGCGCTCCCAGGCCCGGGCTGTGCATCCCCTTTCTCAGACCCTTTAATCATCCTGCCTGCTTTTTACCTCTTCTGAGGGCCGGTGCCAAAGAAAGGGGTTCACTTCGGCATCACCTCCCAGGTCTCTCTTGTAGTCAGAGTCGCACATGCCCTCCCGAACCGCTTTCACCAGGCGCCCGTTCTGGTCACCATACTCACCAGACGCGACCTCCATAACTGCAAGGGACACAGAAGGAGGGGTCAGTCCAGGCTCTAGGAGAGATGCACCAAGTGCTCAGGTGGACCATAGGTCTCCTTCACTTTGCAACGGCAAAGTCGTTATTCAAGTAGGAAAGTTTCTAAATGATTACATAGATGCTGCATGGTGATGATAATGGTATGGTGTCAGAATCATTTGTCAACCTGCAAATGGGAATTCGGCTCTCAACCCCCCAACAAAGCCATTTGCCATGTCAGGAGACTGGAAATGCAAGTGCCTATGTAGTGTCAGACAGGCTGAGCAGCATTTAGTCACATGCCCCCAGTGGCTCAGCCGTCTGGTGCTTACGGAGCTCATGGTGGGCCAGCATGCAAGCAGAGGGGGAGATGAGTGGAACGACGTAGGTCCCTCACAGGACAGCCTGCAGCTTGGGGGTTGTGATGAGAGCTGTGTCAGCTCAAAAGACCACAGAGAAGGGATGCCTACCGCCATGTGGGGTGCCTGGCCACCTGGGGACTCTGAGGTCCCAGGACCATCAGCCGCACTTCTCATCCTGTGAGCATCTCCTCCACTGGCCTTCGTCACTTGCTTGCTTGTCCCTCCTGGACCCAGGCTGTCCCTCCTCCCCTCCACCTCCAGACCCGTTCATTCAGGGCTGCCTCTGCTGCTGGCTGGCTGGCTCCACACTGCCACAGCGACTGTTGCTCCTTCCTGTCCACCGACCTGCTTCTCCCATCTGCCCTCGCCTTCCCTGGGCAACGCCCCGCCCCCCACCTCAATAACTTTCTTGCTGATGTCCAAAGATCCCTGGTCCTTGAGTCTTTTCTGCTCTTCCCTCTAGCAAAATCAGCCATCTGCTTTCCCCAAGCTGGTACCAGGGCAGCCAAACACTCCTGTATAAAGCCATAAACCAGGACTGGACCCACCAGAATGTCACTGTCAATAGCTGCACATGCCCCCCGGGCACTGCAGACGAGGTCCCGGGCTGCCCCGTCCAGATGACAGCAAGGGAATAGAGCCTCCAGGAGGGGTACCTCATTCCTGCAGGACTTCTGTGCACTCCCAGGTGTTCGGCTCTTCACCTTCCCGCCTGTCCTTCCTTCTATGTTCTCACCTCCCTCCCTGCTTAGCAGCACCTGCCACTGACCTCCTTCTCTCTCCTGAATGAATGTGCCACCACAAACTGAGTCCTCCCCGTGTCTTCTCTCAAACCAAGCCCCCCTCTCCCCTCGCCATCTTCTCATCCCTGCATTCTCTCTTCTCACAGACTACTGCATGTGAGTGCAGAGCATTTCCCAGGAGCCATGTCCCATAGAGCACAATTTGGGAACTGATGTTGTAGAAAATATGCAGTCCTTGGAAGTGCGTGATCAGATGTTTTAAAGAAAAGCAATCGAGTGAGAAAACTGATGGCTGGAAGACCAGGAGGAGGGATGTCCACCTGGAAGCCCTGGACAGGGCCTCAGGTGGAAAAGGGTCTTTGCAGATGGAATTAGTTATGGATCTTGGGATGAATTTATGCTGGATGAGGATGTCCTTATTAGAAGAGGAGAGGATATGGAGACACAGAGGAGACGGCCATGTGAAGACAGGGGCAGAAACTGGCTGGCCAGATATTTTTATCTGGAGGAAAGGAAAACTCTTTTTCTGTCCTTTAAAAGTCCCACCACAGGATGGCACTTGAGCCCTTCAGGGAATATTCATGAGACTGTCCTCCTGGCTGGGCAAGCCTTCACTTACCAAAATCTGCTGGGTTGTGGTAGGTTGGGCAGTTCAGACCTAAGTCCCTTAAATATGGCACAAGATTGGAGACTTTTCCCCGGTACACACATTGTCCTTGACTGAGGACATAGAGCTGGAAAAAAGTAAGGAAAGGAAAAGCATCACCCCTGTCTTCCTCCGTAAAGCACTGGCGGTCCAGTCAGTCAGTCATCAATCAACCAACCAACCCATCTCCTCTCATGAGAGCTTTATATTACTCCCTGAGGACCCTGTTAAAGTTCAAGGGGAAAGCTATGGTAAGTCCAGGAAGACAGAATATCATATGGCTGGGGTCATCATATTATATTACTTGCTTTTTTTCCATGCTAACCACCTGCTCAGAAAAAATTTTGGAGCTATCTACATTTCATCCCTTTAGGGCTTATAAAACAGATGATATTGCACAAATACCATAACCTACCACTTAATTCTATAAACAGATGTTTTCCCATTTTAGCAGGGGAGGCAACGGAGTCTCACGGTGTTAGTACCTTGATGGGGTCCCATGCCAAGCCATAGCAGCAGAGACAGGAGGCGCCTCAAGTGGCATGGTACCCAAAGTCTCATAAACACAGCACTCAAAATCTCTTGGAAATGAGGATACCCCATGAACGCACTAACCAAAGGTGGGGAGTACCCAGGGTTTGAACGGGCAGTCCTGGGTGGGAGAGGCACGGGGCCTGCGTACCTGGTCGAACAGCTCGAAGAGCTTGGCGCTGGGCTGGTGGATGGTGCAGATGATGGACCTGCCTCCTTGGGCCAGCCCTTTCATCAGGGAGACCACCTGGAAGCAGGAGGCGCTGTCCAGGCCACTGCAAGTCAAGGGGCACCGTAAGACGCCTATGAGCTGTAGGGATGAGCTCACTGCCCGAGGTCCTGGAGGACCAGGATGTCAGTGCCCCACCATTGTGTGGCCTGCAGCTGAAGCTGCCCCTGCCCCAAGGCCAGGCTCTGTGCTACCTCTTTGTTTTAACTGCTCAGTGCTGGAGCACACAGTGGGGACCGTGTCTGTCACCTTTTATTTCTGACTATAATGGAGGAACCCCAGACAGTCCTGATGAAAGGACCTGGGACGGAGAGTGTGGGGGTTCCCCGCCCGTCTTGGCAGGAGACTACTTCAGAATTGTCTAGGCAGTTCTGTGCCTCCTATGTGAGCAGCATAGCCTGGTGGTCAGCAGTCACATTCCCTACCCTTTGTCCCATCTGGGGACGTCAGCAGCCCAGGCCGGGGCTTTACTCCAGCAGGTGTTTTGCTGAACACGTATCGGTGCCTCTCATGGGATACAGAGTCCTGAGGCTCACTGCAGGCTCTTGACCATGTCCGGCAGCGTCCTGGGGCGACCTCGCCTCTCTGCTCTCCTTCTCTAGTGCCCCAGCCCTGCTCCTGCTTCCATCCCCTTGACTCTGCTGTGTTAGGGCAAGGGAGGTGCCAGGCAGAGCCCTGGAACTCACTCCCATGGCAGTCAGCCTGCAAGATGTGGTTTTAAGGGTTCATGGTGGTCACTTTCTAAAATATCTTTATAGAGGCTCCTTGAGGACCACCCGCTGTGGGCTGGGTGCTATGCTGGACTATAGTGAATGAACTGCCACAGACTGCTGCCTTGTTTAGCTGGACTCTGGAGGGGTGAGCAAGCAGTAGGCGTGAGGCAACATCGCATCGGTCGGAAGTCGTTTTGGGAGCAGCCCCGTAGGTCGCGGCTTGCTCATCTTGTCTGGGTGACTGAGCTGATGAGCTTGACACACTGCTGTGGGTGCCAGAGCCTGGGTTCCACAGCAGCGCTTCCTAGTGGGGGTTGAACGTGAAGGGCACCCCCAGGAAAGGATCAGACTAACAGGGGCCACAAGGCAGGAGTCTCCTACGGGCTTCTCTGCACCTTTAATGTGCTAATGTGCAGGTTTTTTGAACACGTCTGACCACAGGCTCTTTCTCAAAGGTGTCTCACACAAGAGCCCTCAGAGTGGCTGTGCCACGGGCACGTTTTGCATGGGAGAGACATGCACCGTGAAGGGACATTTCCCCCAAACCATATCCCCATGTTACCCCAAGCCCCATAGGCCTGAGCATGTGGGCATCTCTGAGTGAGTAAAGGAGGGAGGAGGGAGGTCAGCCCCTCTGCCCGTGATCCCAAAGAGAGGGAGGAAAAGTTGCACGAGCAGAACCCACAATGGCACCCCCCAAGAATGTTGGGGCCACCTGTGAGAACTGCCTAGTGGGGGTGGGGGGTGGGGTCAGCTCTTCCCTGCCTCCCCCACCTCCAGCCCAGTTGCTTTGCAGCTCCTGATTTACCTGGTGGGTTCATCGAAGAACATGACCGGAGGGTTGTTCACCAGCTCCAGGGCGATGGCCAGGCGCTTCCGCTGGCCGCCCGACAGGCTTCCCGTCCGCGTATTGGCACAGGACAGCAAGCCCAGTGCCATCAGGATCTCCCTGACCTGGGGAGACAGCAGAACCAGAGCTCCCGTTAGGAACTGCCTGTCAAACCTCACCACCTAGACCAGGGCCCACGTGAGAAGACCTGCCGGCTGCCCCCACCTCCATCCTGCTGGACACACAGAGGGGCTGCAAATTGGGGCCCACCCCGGATGCCCAATGCCAAACAGGAAAGGTGCCGCTTCCAAGGCAGCCATCTTGATTTTGGCCAGGGAGGCAGTGCTGCCCAGGGGCAGAGGACTGAGGGGTTGAGTCCCCCTTCTGCCTCTGGCTGGTGACCTGTGCATGTTCCCTCCCTTCTAAGCCTAGCCCAATGTGTGACACAGGGGAGTGTTCAATAAATATTTGCTGAATGGGTGGGTTAATGGAGACCTAGGTGGACAGACGATCAGGTCTCTGACCGGCACAAAGGGGAGGGTCCCTGGGCCATGAAGTGCAGTAGGGAATGCACAGTGCTTGGCGTGACACTGGGCATGCAGCAGGCATTTAATCCGGGGCAGCTATCACCAAAACAGTCCTTACCGTGGATGCAAGGCACATAGCCCTGCAAGCCTGGCCACTCAGAACGGGGATGCAGCACTTCCGCACTTGCACAGAGGTTGGACTTGAAAACAAGTCTCTGAGTGGCAACAAGGTAACAAAACAGACCTGCAGTGTCTGATTAGAGCAGTTGCCACTCCCACAGCGGCCACACCAGTGCCTCAAGGAAGCAGGCTGTACCCCAGATATAAACAGTTCCTGTGCATGGAGCCTTCCTGTCTGCCCTGGATTGTCAATCCAGCGCAGATGCAGGGAACAGAAAGGTCAGGGGACTCTGGCGCCGGCTCCGTGCCGTCTCCAGCCCCAGCGATTGGTCCACCCCAGAGTCTTCTCAGAAGCAGGCCCAAAGGAAGACGGAGGCCGGCCAGCTGCTGCCCTCCCTGCCTCCCAGCCAGGGTGGCCTCTGGGGCAGCCCACCGCAGATCTCCCTCTAGAATTGGCCCAGCCATTGTCCCAGCCCTGGCAGGGCAGCCCTGTGGCAGCTGGCCCCTGTTGGCCGGAGTGAGTAGACCCTGGTCCAGCAACTTCTCTGGGGAGATGAGGTCATCCCAAAGGAGGAGGAACACACAAGGAGGAAAATTTCCACTCTGAGCTTTTGAGTTACTTATGCACAGTCAGTACAAAGTACAGCTTCAGTGACAGGAAGAACCAGGGAGCTGCTGCTGGATAGGCTTGAACAGGCCTGGGTCCAGTCCTGCTCTACCTGTCCTTGCAGACGATGCCCTCAGCCCAGCTCCACCACCTCCTCCAGAAGGTCTGGCCTCTGAGGGGTATCAGCCCCGAAAGACCTGCATGAGGTTTGTCTGGAAAAGGCCAGCAAGGCGAGGTGGAGCTGGGGAGGGCTCTCTTCCCAGTGGGCTTTCCCTCCTGTGCAGACAGTGTCAGCTGGCTCTCCCAGGACGAGGCTCCCAGGTCTCCCAGCACCACTGGCCAATGCTGGTTGTTCCAGGCTCACTTTGGGGGTGCTCCACAAGCACGGTGTATCTCCTCTTCCCCAACCACCTTCACAGAGGGGGTGCTGGAAGTAGAGGCCAAATGTGGTGCCCCCTTGGCCTGCCCACCCCTGCCTCTACCACCACGAGGCCAGCTCATGTTCTCCAGCCTTCTCTTGGAAGAGACATATGCAGGTTGGTTTTGTTTTAAAAACTAGTCCACAAGAACAAACAATGGGCTCACTTATTCATGTATTTTCCTAAACAAAGCTCTCAAGACCATGTGTACCTGTAGTCCTCCTGGGCCTCGCACACTTACTGGCCATGGGCGGGGCTCTCCTGAAGAGGAGGCTTCGCTGGAGAGCTCTCCAGGGCTGAGGCTGCTTTTCTGGGAAACGAGGAAGGCCGAGAACACATTCCACTCCATGCTAGAACATTCCATCCCATTGTTTCCAGGAGCTATAAACAACTTTGACCAGTACATGTGGAGGGTCGAGGGAAATGAGCCAGGATGTGACATGGCTGCTGTTTTATGCTCCAAATGATCTTGCTGGCAGGTCCCTGGGGGGCTGCGGAACACGAGGGTGGGTCTGCGCTGGGGCCCCAGTGAGAAACGTGCAGGACTGCTCACCACCTCTGCTCCCGTGGGGGTGGCTCCTCTCATTGTTCACCCAGCAGCATGAGGAGAGGTCTCGCTCCCCAGGGACAATGTAGCCCGGAGCAGCAGGGACCCTCAGTGCGACGATGTCTTTGCTCTCATAAGCACAGCCGAGAACAGCACGAGGCTGCCTTCTGGTCAGTGTCTCAGGCCAGGCCCCTCTAGGACATGGGCCTGTGAGTCCTGTCTGCCAAGGGCCCCCAGAAGTGCCTCCAGTTGCCACCAAGATGCTGTCTCACTCCGGACCCTTCCACTCCAGCAGGTACAGCAGGTTCCCGAGGCCCTCCCTTGAGACCCTGACACAGCCATCGGGATGAGGAGCTAGAAGCCAGATTCTGAAGATGCAACACTTACTGTTGCAGACAGCTGGCACGGGAGGGGAAGGGCCAGCCCCAACTGCTGTGCTCCTCAGTGCAGCAAGTCTGCCGAAGCACCTGCTTGCCGCCCAGCCCTCTGCAAAAGCTGCTGTCCTAGCTCCAGGGAAAGGTGGGCCGAGGCAGCCCATGCTTCAGAGAGTGATCCACAGCCCCTTCTTGTGGGTCACGCAGGCTCGGTGGAACTCAAAGACCTCAAAGATGTCATCCATTCCATCTGAGACTGCTGTAAAAGGCAGGTGGAACGTGGCTCAAGGTCACCCAGCAGGTCCTAGGAGCCCGAGGTTGAAGGGGCTCCTCTGTATGCTCAGTCCCCCTTCTCTATAGGACCCTCTCTGTGTTAGAAAAACCCTCCAACCTCCCTGTCTGCTGTCCCCACGATGTGCGACTCCAGAGAAGACTCTTCTCCACTGTCAGCTCTGTCCTAGGCCTTGGGTTGGGGTCTGACAGACAGAATCCTCTCTCTGTAGCTGCTCCTCCACATCAGCGACCAGCTGACGTTTCTACCATCTCCTTGGAGTCCTGCAGCCTGTTCCTTGGCTCGGGGGCAATTGTCGGAAGGGGTCTGCGGACCCTGATGGGGGCTGAGTCAGAGATTGCACTGCGCTTCTGACACCCTGTGCAATGTGGAGGCTGGAGGATGGGAGTGTCGAGGCATGAGAAGTGGTCCCGGGCCTCATGGAGGGGCAGCTCATTGATTCTTTGCTTCGTGGAGATCCCTCTCAGCTCTTGCCAGGACCACCCCCCTGCCACTGGTCCTGTGGCCAAGGGCTTTCCTCCTCACCAGTGACCGGGGCAGAGAGACACTTCATTTTTCTCCCTGTTCTACCATGTGCCTAGAACCAAGTTATCTAACCTGTTGTGTTAGTCAGCTCAGGCTACCGTAACAAAGTACCCAAACTGGGGTCTTAAGCAACAGAAATCACTGTCCCGGAATTCTGGAGGCTGGAAGTCTGAGATCTAGGTGTCAGCAGGCTGGTTCCTCCTGAGGCTTCTCTCCTTGGCTTGCAAGTGGCGTCTTCTCCCTGTTTCCTCACGTGGTCATCCCTCTGTATGTGTCTATGTCCTAATCTCTTTTTTTTTTATAAGGACACCAGTCAGATTGGATTAGGGACCACCTTAGTGACCTCATTTTAATTTAATTACTTCTTTAAAGACCCCCATCTCCAAATGTAGTCAATTCTGAGGTCCTGAGGGGATCAGCCCAAGATACTGGTCTTCCATAACTTGGTGTAATCAACACTGTCAGGTGCGGCTGCAGGAGTCAGGGGAGGTGGTGTACGGGGGGTGTGGGGGGGAGGAATGTCTGCGTGTCTAAGGGACTCTGTTCAGAAAAGCTCAGTGACCAGAGGGCTCTGCTTCCAACCTGTACAATAGTCACAAGCCCGATCAGTCCTTTTGCCTCCATAAAGGGACAGAAACACACGTGGTTTTCACATTTTCCACATCTTCTCTATCTTGGGTTCCTTTAATCCATTTTACTCCTTTCGATGTAAAGAGTTCCACATGAAACATTTTCTGTAGCAACAAGGAATTGTTGTATTTCTCCTAGAAATTAGGTTCTGTCCACCTGCACTATGCATGTTAACACCCTCTCCTCCCCACTCCAGGTGGCAGGGGCTGAATCCCAAGAGTTCTGGAGCGTGCAGTGCAGAGAGGAAGGAGCCTAAGTTTATCCAACACTTTTTTCCATGCCAAAGTGGTTTAAATTTACTCAATGTTAACTATGATGTGTGGCAGGAGGGGTAAGTGATGTAAGCAGCTTGCTGTTAATGCTGCCTCTGCATGTTCAGCTGTGTGCTGTTAATTATTCCATTTCACACCAAAGCATGAAGGGCTGCATCGTGCCGCTGGCGCTAACCCTGCAAATCCCATGCTCCCGGCTGCTGGACTGAGGTCCTGCCAGGCGGCTGTGTGCTGTTAATTATTCCATTTCACACCAAAGCATGAAGGGCTGCATCGTGCCGCTGGTGCTAACCCTGCAAATCCCATGCTCCCGGCTGCTGGACTGAGGTCCTGCCAGGCATTAGAGGACAAAGGTAATGTCATACAAGTGGGATTTCAGCAAGTTCTGTGTTACACTGAAGATCCCACCAGCCCTTGCTGTAGTGTGAAGAGGAGTCGAGAGTCCCTTGGACAATGTGTGGACATAGACCAGTCCCTCTCCCTATTGCGGATTTCTGGTGCTCCAGCTGGCTCTGCTCACCTGCTCCCTGGGGGCTTAGGGAACCAAAAAAGGGGTAAAAGCGATTGGAAAGCGTTAGTCCTCCTGGAAATGTGTTTATTTTCTTTTTTTTTTTAAAGACTGGTTAATAACAGGAAAGGACCAAACTTCTTGCAAGTGTGTGGGTGAAGAGTGGTTATTTTTAAACAAGTGACTGTCTTCATTGTTACTGTTTTATAAAAACAATTGAGTTAATATGAAGTGCATTAAACACTAAAAGGGGCAGAGCATACGGTTTAGCCTGAAGTCCACGTTCTCTGGCCACCTGAGCACTAAGGCCACTGTCTTGCTGCATCCCTGCCACTTTAGTGCAGCCACTCCTGGGTCAGACTCAGAGCCGTGCCTCTTGCCCCAGAGCCGTCTGTCTTGGACCTGGGCTGCTGCAGGCCATGTTACACCCTGAGATGTCACCTCGCCCCCCAGGAGACCAGGCGAAACAGACGAGCAAATAGAAGCCAGCACCAAAGAGCCTCCCATACACATTTCCCACATGAACGTCCTGCACACTCTGGACCACTGAGCCCAGAGCAACATACTTACCATCTCCCGCCTGCCTTCATCCTTCTCCTGGAGCTTCAGATGTGCAGACACCTGCAGGGACAAGGACGACAGTGTGGAGGCTGTTGGCTGGGGCAGCCTCTCAAAGCCACGCTGCGAGCCCAGAGCTACCCAACCACTGTGGAAAACCCAAGGAGGTTTTGGGTTCCCACTTCCCATGGTTTAATCAAGGTAGGGTCATAGGAGAGCACACTGTCTGGGATGCACCCTGTTGTCTTAGTCCAGTTCTCTGATGCACCTGTGACAGAAGTTAGATGTGGGCAATTTAAAGAAGAAGAAACCCCAGGCATCAGGGGCTTGAAGACCTGGCTGGGCTGCAACCAGCAGTGGATATTTAGAAATTCCACAAGCCACTTGTCAAACCACCGATAGCTGGAAATTATCCACAGTGGGAATATTTACACCACTTAAATTGGCAAGTGCTATTTGTTGGGATACTGTTCTTTGTTGTGGTTTTGTTTCATTTTTTGAGGTCCCATTTACCAGCACACCACTGGGTCCCTGACCCTGCTTAGTAAAACCCTGTGTAGAAATCACCATACTCCATGTCAGCCTTGGTTCTGCTCTGTGAAGTGCTGTGGCCTTGGGCAAACAAGGAGCCTCAGTTTCCTCATGGGCATGAGAGTGAGGTTAAAACCCACCACCTCATCGCCAGTGAAGGTACTGTGAGGATCAGATGGAACAGGGAAAGTGGCAAGAGTCCTGGGCCCCAGAGCCAGATAGGGCCAGGCCCATGTCCCCCTGGCAGAGCCTGCTGCTTGCTATGTGACACTGAGGGTCACTTCTTGGTCTGCCTGGTGGTCGTGAGGGCCAGAAGCAGCATGTAACAAAGCACGTCTATGTCTAATACGTGACCAGGACTCAGCAGCCTGTGGTCAGTGTCACTCCTATATGTGAGACAGGACCTTGAGTGGTAAAAGGTGTGACAGCCTGGAGCTGGAAGTATTTCTCAGAGGTTTTGTGAACTCTCAAAATCAATATCTAAAATTGAATTGAATTCTGAAAATGGATGTATGTCAGAGAAGAGTCTGATGACAAGGTTGGGAGAGAGCAGAGACGACCCAGGAGTCACCCATTGTGTCTGCAAGAGAAGACAGTGAAAAGGCTAGGAAGTCAAAGCGAAGGCTCTCAAATGAGTCACCGCATGTTCACTCAGTGATTCTCTGAGAAGCTGAGCTCAGGTCACCCCAGCTGCACAAGCCATCCAGGAATCAGTAGGGTGTGTGTAGAGCTTGCGCTTACTGAACACATGGGACGTGAGCATGAGCATAAATAAAAGCGTCATGGGGCTGCCTTGCCTGGTTGGTTTGCAGACTCTCTCCAAGTCCTCTGTGCCCATCAGAACACTCACGTGGAGTCCAATAAACATCAGGGCTCCCCAGTGCACAGCTGCTGGGGTAGGCTGAGCCTGTGGAGAGGTGTCCCCTCACCTGAGGGACACTCAGTGCCAGGGAAGATGAAAGAGAACAACCTCACAGGGCCCTCTCTTTCTGTTCCCATGAAGCAGGTTAGGGGGCAGGACCCGTCTGATTCTTCACCTGCTTCTCTCTGCTGAGCTAAGAAGGCCAGGGAACGGCCCTCCACATAACACGTGTGGCTGCCTCTCTCTGATGCCGTGGAGGAAGCTCTGCCTGATCCAAGCCAGGCGATTCTTCACCTGCTTCTCTCTGCTGAGCTAAGAAGGCCAGGGAACGGCCCTCCACATAACATGTGTGGCTGCCTCTCTCTGATGCCGTGGAGGAAGCTCTGCCTGATCCAAGCCAGGAAGACCTCTCCAGGTGGGAAACCACGGCAAGTGCCCCATCTGCTAACCAAAGCGCAGAGCAGACAGGCTGAGAATGGCCCCGAAGGTGCCAGGAGAGGCACAGGGGTCAGGGACTCTTTTATGCAGAGGATGAGGAGAAAGCAGAAAAACAGCCCCGACACAAGCAAGCCATGAGGGCAACCAGAGCTGCAGGCTGACTTTCAAACCTCCTAATGGAGGCGTTCTAGTGGCTTCCACCGCCCCCAAATTGGTCAGTGTGGGCTCAGTCCCTGTGGGTTGAGCTTCCTTAAAAATGGCCCTCGAAGCCCAGAGTCAGGCACTTGGCTGG